CGCCACTCACCGTCAGCTCCGAGCCGGTGCGATCCCCGACCGACCTGAGAAGCGCAGGCCTGAGCGTCTTAAACTCTCCGCTCCCGGCAGTCATTGGCTTCTTCGAAACCCAACGGTCGTAACCGTCACTTTTCCCCATTGGCCTCCACGGCCCTGGGGGCGGGTCTTCCGGGGCAAGTCGCAGATCTCACGAGAGTTCAGCCGGGACACGTGATTTGTGTCGGAAAGCGAGAGGGAAGGGGCGGGGAGCATCCGGGGGCGGGGCTCGCGCTGCCTCCTCCTGGCCGGTTCGCTTCCATTCATTCCTCAGGTTCCCCTCACCCGCCCTGCACATTTAAACCCTCCCTGTGGCGTTTATTTATGATACCCAAGTGCAGAGCGCTGTGGAACGACCTGAAGCACTGACCCCTTTAGAGAACGGAAAGGGAGAGGGTGGAGGGAGAGGGCGGGATGGGGTCTGAAAGGGCTGAGAGGCTTCACGGAAGGGAGGCCGGAGGAGTTAGGGTTCATCCGCTGTTTGCCCGGTGAGAGCAGGGATGCTGTAGGCAGACGCGAGCAGAGCAAGCACGTTGGGCCAGGTTCAGGAGGTCATGGGGTGTAAAGCCCCAGGTGCCTAACAATAGCCAGTGATGGCGAACCTTTTGAGCTCGGCGTGTCAGCATTTTGAAAAACCCTAACTTAACTCCGGTGCCGTGTCACATATAGAAATGTTTTGATATTTGCAACCATAGTAAAACAAAGACCTATATTTTTGATATTTATTTTATATATTTAAATGCCATTTATCAAAGAAAAATCAACCAAAAAAAATGAGTTCGTGTGTCACCTCTGACAGGCATGTCATAGGTTCGCCATCACTGCAATAGACAATTGTCGGGTGGGAAGTCACCCCCGGGGTGACCTTTCCTCCCCTAGCATATGGATGGAGCCCCCGACCGGTCCTCCCTAGAGATAGCATCTAGGCCTCAGTTGTATTTCAACTCCAGGCCCAGAAAAGGAACAACACCAGATAAGCAATTCCAAGGCTGACCTCAGAGCTGGCTGCATTGAATAATGACCCTCTGCCCTGGTGCCGGCCAATCAGTGGAGACCACGACTCTGAAAGGACACACCTGTAAAACTAATATTCTATTGAGATCTTCCCCTGGGACCTCCCCTACACTCTCCGCCCTTAAAACCCTCAGGACGGAGGACCCCAGTGTGTTCTCCCTCCTAGGAGCACACTCACGCTCTTCCCTCTCCCTTCTCCTTCCCTGCCATCTCCCTGCCCCTGGCACCTTACCATTAGCTTCCTCACTCCCAAGCTCCAAGGGCCCTTCCTTTACACCTATAACTTGTTTCTGAAGCCCATTTCCTCTAGGAATTACTTTTCTACCTCTGTAATTGACCCAATAAATGTTCTCTTACAGTTTGGGCCTGGAGTTAATTCTTTCCTAGCCAGAACCCAAGTACCCAGGTTGCTGAACCCAGATGTGGTCTGACCCCAACGGTCATACACCTGGTGCTATTCCTGCCGTCTACAACAGGAACACTGCTAGGAAAGAAGTAGTACATGTGTTTGTTTTTAAAATTTTTTTGTTTGCTGTTTTACAATCAGGGGAAATGAAGCTGAAAGGGGTGAATTCCTTATAGTCAAGAAAAAGAATCAGGATTCAGACCTGCCCATCTAGAAGGTAAGGTTGGACTTGCCCTGAGGGAGACATTGTGGCTTACTCTTATGGGGCTTTAGAGGTGTCAGGAATTTTAGAGATCCACTTCGGAGGTGCACCCTCCCCATCTTGGAAACACCCATATTTTATAGGTGAAGAAACAGAGGCCCAGGGAAGGGATGTGCCAGAGTTCACACAAATTGGTGGAAATCCAGGTTCAAAACCCATTTAATCCAGTACTCTAATAATGACTTGAATGAATTGTGTGAATGTGCTTAGAGGTGAAACAGCAATAATAAAAATAATAATAGGTACCATTTATTGGCCATCTGCTAACTATTGTGTTTAAAGGGCTTGCATACATTATTGAGTTTAATCCTTACTCCTATAAGACATAATCTTGCCCCTTTTATAGAAAAAGAAACTGGGTCAGAAAAAGGTTAGAAACTTGCCCAAAGGGACACAGCCAATAATAATAAGTAGTGGAGTGCCCTGGCCAGTGTTTCTCAGTGGTTAGAGCGTCTGCCTGAACACTGAAGGGTCTCGGTCAAGGGCACACCTGGATTGCAGGTTCAGATTCAGTCCTGACCATGGGTGGTTGGGGTGCATGTGGGAGGCATCCAACCAATGTGTCTCTCTCATGTGGATGTTTCTCTCCCTCTCTCTCTCTCCCTCTCTCTTTCTCTCTCTCTTATCTCTGCCCCCTCCCTCCCTTTCACTCACTAAAAATCAATGAAAAAAAAATCCTCTGGTGAGAATTAACAAAACAAAACAAATGTGTGAGCCACGTCCTGCGTGGTTCAAGGTTCAGGATCTGGAGAAGGGCCACACACAAATGACAGAGACAAGACAAGAAATAATAATTTGGAAATATTCGCCAGGCGGGAGAAGCCCAACTCAAGGGGAAGGACTTCCACTGGTGCCCACGCCTTGCCAACCTTTTATTCAATTTTGGATACACATATAGTCCTTAGTCAGGCAGGCAATTCCGGTAACAGACAGACTATCTTAAAGGTCAGTAAAGATTTACTCTGAGACTATTTGGTCAGGAAATTGCTTGAGCCACTATTGTCTCGACTATTGGTGCATAGCTCTGGCCCTTGCCAGGGCTCAAGGTTCACCAGCGTTCCAGGATCCTTTTTTACATGTCTCTGATAGTGAAGACAATGGGTAGCTTCCAACGAACAAACAAACAAAAATAAGTAGTGGAGTGAACTCTGATGATGACAGAGAAAAATCTGGTGCTCTTAGCCCAAATTTAATATTGTTACCTTTGATTTTGAAGTGTTTATGTTCTCTATTTCCAATTACCTTGGAAAACAAGGAGTTGGATGTCCTGGGGTTTTAAATGGGAAGTCCCATTTACATAGGAAATGTAGTCTAGAATCAGGCTGGTCAGGGCCTTAAATGTTAAGCTAAGGAGTTTGGACTTGATCTGTTTTATCAGTGAGAGTTTTCTGTGTAGGGAAGGGCCAAACAAAACATATCTGAGGGCGGGACATGGCCAGCAGTTTGCAGCTTCTGGAGTAGGGTTAACTGCAGAGAATAAGGATAGGGTAAATAAGGGTACAACCGCAAGGAATTCATAATTTTAAAATAAAGGAATGAAAGAAGCCAGATTATACTGACATGGACCTTGAAATGGGAAGAATTCTAATATGATGCAAAATAGTTAAGCAGAATGATGAGAGAAGAGGTCAGATATAGCTATTGAGAAACAAATCATCGGTGACCTTGGAGAGAGAGGGATCAGGAGAGTGGGTGCTCGGGTTCCAATTGGAAAGGTCGAAGAAAGAAGGGTGGGGAGAATATGAAGGCAGCAGCACGGCCTACTTGTGTGAGAAATCTGGGAGTGGAAAAGGGGCAGTGCAATGGGAGTTTGAGGGAATCATAGCACCAAGAGTCCTATGTCTTTTTTTGTTGTTGTTAATCCTCGCCCAAGGATATTTTTCCATTGATTTTTAGAGAGAATAGAAGAGAGGAGAGGGACAGAGAAAGAAAAAAGCATAGATGAGAGAGAGACACATTGATTGGTTGCCTCCCACACATGCCCCAACCAGGGCTGAGGATCAAGCCAGCAACAGAGGTACATGCCCTTGACCTGAATTGAACCCGAGACCCTTCAGTCCACAGGCTGATGCGTTATTCACTGAGCCAAAGTGACTAGGGCGAGGCCTATGTCTTTTGGAAGGTGAAGGCAAGAGTCAGGGGAGGTGAAAGGGGCCAGGCAAGGGCCAGCGGACAGAACAAAGGAAACTGGGTACCTTCCCCAGGAAGAAATGGGGTAGAAAACACAGGGAGCTTTTCCAGTCTAGGAAAGAAACATCACTTCCTCTTAGGCTAGAGGCAAGGAGAGCAAGGCTTTTGAGATGGATAATTAGAGGCTGAGGAGCTGGTTAGATGGGGGGAACTCACACCTGAAGGACTTGAATCTAGGGAAGCAGAGGATATGGAAGGAATAAAATATAGGTGATATTCAGGGGGTGGAACTTAGTTGGGATATTAAAAATAGCTCAATAAACACTGAGTATTAACTATATGCATGGCATTGTGTTAACATTTTTAATCCTCACATTAGCAAATAGTGGAAGAGAAAGAAATCAGGTTCTGAAGAGTCAAAGGTAAGGAGTGAGATTAGTAGGAAGATCAATCTGGAGGCAACATACAGGTTGAAACTGGAGAGATATAAAGAGAGACTACAGTGTGGCTCAGTGGTTGAGCATCGACCTATGAATCAGGAGGTCACAATTCAATTCCAGATCAGGGCACTTGCCCAGGTTGTGGGCTCGATCCCCAGTCGGGGGAGTGCAGGAGGCAGCTAATCAATGATTCTCTTTCATCATTGATGTTTCTCTCTCTCCCTCTCCCTTCCTCTCTGAAATCAATAAAAATATATATTTTAAAAGAGGCAAAGATATTAGTTAAAAGGCTGTATGTAGTTCAGTGGAGATAGAGGAAATGGAATTTAAGAAGTATAAGTGACCCTAACCTGTTTGGCTCAGTGGATAGAGCGTCGGCCTGCGGACTCAGGGGTCCCGGGTTCAGTTCTGGTCAAGGGCATGTACCTTGGTTGCGGGCACATCCCCAGTGCAGTGGGGGGTGTGCAGGAGGCAGCTGATCGATGTTTCTCTCTCATCGGTGTTTCTTATTCTCTATTCCTCTCCCTTCCTCTCTGTAAAAAATCAATAAAATATATATATAGAAGTAAAAGTGATCAGGACATGATGGCTGAGTGGGTGTAAAGGTGAGAGGTTCACTGGTTTGGGCCTCATCCCTGTCTTGAGTCCCTAGGAATAAAGTCGGAGCCTTGAAGATGACTAGGGGAAGGAATGATGGAAAATGAGTATACTGGATGTCATCCATTTGTCCCATTCAGACCCACTCTTCATCCTTCTCCACCCTGCCCGTGCCCTATGAAGATGATTCATATGGCCTATGTCAATGGATTTCCTTGGGCTCTAGTTTTTGTTTGGGTTCCACCAATGGGGGG